ACCTCTCACAGTGTTCAAAAAGAGATAAAACACCTGCTGGATCCTTCACAGAATACCTGATCAATCAGGCTATATTGACCAGACCACACACTAGAAGGTGAAGGGACGACGACGTTTCGGTCCGTCCTGGACCATTTCTCAAGTCGATTAAGAATGGCTATAATTCATACGTCAGGCAGTGGAGCAGCCGCATAGAATACCCTGGTTGACCAGACCACCAACCAGGAGGCCTTGTCAGAGACAGAGCCGCGGGGACGTTGATCCTCGAAAGGTTTACTCGATCTTATCTATTTCTCTTCACAGCCTGCCATGTCGTTGCCGGGATCGAGTGGAACGTTTTAGATGTTCTGAGAATTGTTTTCTCCGTCTATAGAGGGAGCGCCGTTCTCGTACCAATATGCATATCAAGCCTGGCCTCGGGCCGGGCTTGGGGAGTAGAACTCCCAGAACCCCATCAACCAGGTATCAACCAGGTATGCATCTTTTTCCAATTTTCTTGGTGGCATATGTACCTTGCACATATTTCTAGTGCTATTGTGTCCATTTTCTGAAAGATCTAGTTTAAGTTTGTATTATCTAGCTGTTCTTCCCAGGATATTTGAGGGGTCTTTGTTTCCTCCTAGTTAATCAGTTTATTAAAATTGAATTTGCTGAATTCTCTTCTCGAATTTGAGACGCGATTTGAGACTTTGAGACGAGACATAATTTGAGATTAATTATGAAAGTCATAATTAATCGCCATTGCAAACAATGATGAAGTCATTGTTTGCAAAAATAAGATCCGGGGTCTTTTCTAGTTGGTTCTACTATTTGCTGGTTCAAAGCAAATCTGTCACACATCTGCAGTATGTTATTTGTGTGTGACTGTTCATTTAGACTGCTTCCTGAGACTGTCTGTCTGTTATAACTGTATTTGCCACATTTTCCATTTTAGTTGCCTTACGTTGATTTATATACAAAGACGATCGCCACTTTATCGATGTATTCACGAAATAATCGATGTATTTTAATACATCGATACTGTATTATCTTTGATACATTACCTTTATGGCACCTCAGCATCAAATGCCCAAGACTTTACAACAATAATAAATATATAACAATACAATGAATTAAAAATACGATATGAAATACGTTACGAAATACGATATACGTTATAAAAATACGATATGAAATACGATATGAAATAAAAAACTAAAAACACAATGAAATAAAATAAATACAATGAAATACAACAACAATGAAATAAATATTTCATTCAAAATGATCTGCTACCAGAAATTTTAGCCAAATATCTCCAGTTTGGTAACTGTAGGTTGTAACTAAGTGACTGTAACCTATCCACCGCTGCCCACTGGATGGGGGGCGGTGTGCAGGACAAACATATCAATTGTGACACTAGCTCTCCACATATGTCAGTTGCTTAACTTAGAAATTGTACTTGTGGTCGATCTCGAACCCATTGTTGATGTGACGACTTGTACTGAATTTTGTAACCAGTTCACCAAGATTGTAACTTCCTTAGCTAAATGAATTGTTCAGTCCCTGAGCCCATTATGTGCCTCTGTAACTCTTTCCATTACCGCCCACAGGATGGGTATGGGGTGCATAATAAATTAACTAAACTAACTCATTCACTGACTGTACTTGTGTGTATATATATTTATCTAGCACGGCTTATCGAGTCGAGATCCAGCTCTTTGGTACCGCCTTTAATGTGCAATGGACTGGTGAATCCCCTTTCCCCCTCCCTCGCTACATCCTCCCCCTTACCTCTTCCCTTCCCTCCATAACCCTCCCTCCAATTTGTAGTGTTTTAATCATCCCTCCACAAGTCCCCCTTTCCCCGGATCCCGACAATTTGTTCGGCTTCCTCTTCCTTCCCGTCCTTTTTTTTTACTCTTATATTCTCTCAATTATCCACTCTCTTCCCCTCTCCCACAGCCGAGGACTACCATACACACCACCACCACCACTGTCTGTCTGTCTGTCTGTCTGTCGATAGACGTATCTGGCAGCTTTCTCAAAACCCAAATGTCGAGTACACAATGTGTCAACTTTGTGAAAGAGAAAACATGCACTCTCTTGAACATTATATTGTAGAATGTCCCATACTGACTGACTTTCGCCCTCCTGGGCTAAGGTATGCTGAACTCTGTAGTTACTATATGAGTACTGGAACACTTGATGATATATTGGACTTGTATCCAAAATTGACCATGTAATGTATCAATCATACAATGTATGTATGTGATGTAACTATATAACCTGAGCTTGTAAAAGCACCTTCATCACCTTCAGTGATTAAGTGCTTAATTGCACACTAGTTTCTTTATCAGCTACCTCACCCTGTCAGGGTAAATGAGACAAATGTATGTGAATGCATGTATGTGTGTATATATGTATGTGTATGTGTGTGTGTGTGTATGTATATGTATGGGTATAAAGCATATATGGAAGCTGATCAGAATTACATTTCACCTTTGTGAATGTACATTAATGACACTATGTAAAAGACACATCTAATACTTTATGTAGGGCGTACGTAAATCTGTGTATCTTTGTATTTACGTATGTAGTTAGCTTAGCATTTTTTTAAAAGCACCGAATCACCTTCTGTGGTTGAGTGTTCAATAAAACCCTTGAACTGTATGTTTAACACTTCTCTAACCCTGTCCATGGAGAACAGAAGAAAATGTATATATGCTGGTTAGCACTGTAAATGTGTGGCCACGTCTGTGGTAGAAAATAATAATAATAATAAAAAAAAAAACTGTCTGTCTGACTGGTAATGACAGTAAAATAGGTACCTGGGTGTTAGTCAGCTGTCACGGGCTGCTTCCTGGGGGTGGAGGCCTGGTCGAGGACCCGGCCGCGGGGACACTAAAAAGCCCCGAAATCATCTCAAGATAACCTCAAGAAGGTACCTGGGAGTTAAGACAGCTGATACAGGCTGCTTCCAGTGTGTGTGCTTCCAGATGTGTATGAGAGTGTAACAAAAAAAAGTTGATTGACAGTTGAGAGGCGGGCCTAAAGAGCCAGAGCTCAACCCCCTGCAAGCACAACTAGGTGAGTACAAGTACCACCCGCACCCCCCCCCCCCTCCACCCGCACAAGGGAGCCACCTCGTAAACTTTAATGGATTCGTGAACGCAAAAATATGGCGTTAAATTTGGGTTGAGTGTGGCGCTATAACCCGGGGGGGGGGGGGACGGACCCCCTCGGGGGTAACAACCACACCACTGAACTGCCACAATAAGGAGTCCAGGAGCACCTAACTGCTCTCCAACTGGAACTTGAAGCCTTTCCTGGACTGTCACTCGATCACGGATGAATTGATAGACCCTAGACATCACACAAACATGTCTCGCAAGAGACTAATGTTGTCTATGTATTTACGCGTCTATTTAGGGAATGTCAACCCCAACGACCTTAATATATAGGCAAGACAACATATCCTTCAAGGTGCCCGACAATGCACAAACAACAATGCTCCATCAAAGGTTACACTACATCTACCTACAATCAGACCTCCAGTTATCCTGACCAACATCACCGGAGGAAGCCACAGCCAGCCCCCAGAGGAAGCCACAGCCAGCCCCAGAGGAAGCCACAGCCAGCCCCCAGAGGAAGCCACAGCCAGCCCCCAGAGGAAGCCACAACCAGCCCCCCGGAGGAAGAAGCCACAGCCAGCCCCCAGAGGAAGCCACAACCAGCCCCCCGGAGAAGCCACAACCAGCCCCCGGGAGAAGGAAGCCACAACCAGCCCCCGGGAGGAGGAAGCCACAACCAGCCCCCGGGAGGAGGAAGCCACAACCAGCCCCCGGGAGGAGGAAGCCACAACCAGCCCCCGGGAGGAGGAAGCCACAACCAGCCCCCGGGAGGAGGAAGCCACAACCAGCCCCCAGGAGAAGGAAGCCACAACCAGCCCCCGGGAGGAGGAAGCCACAACCAGCCCCCGGGAGGAGGAAGCCACAACCAGCCCCCGGGAGGAGGAAGCCACAACCAGCCCCCGGGAGGAGGAAGCCACAACCAGCCCCCGGGAGGAGGAAGCCACAACCAGCCCCCGGGAGAAGGAAGCCACAACCAGCCCCCTGGAGGAGGAAGCCACAACCAGCCCCCAGGAGGAGGAAGCCACAACCAGCCCCCAGGAGAAGGAAGCCACAACCAGCCCCCCGGGAGGAGGAAGCCACAACCAGCCCCCGGGAGGAGGAAGCCACAACCAGCCCCCAGGAGAAGGAAGCCACAACCAGCCCCCAGGAGAAGGAAGCCACAACCAGCCCCCGGGAGGAGGAAGCCACAACCAGCCCCCGGGAGGACGAAGCCACAACCAGCCCCCCGGGAGGAGGAAGCCACAACCAGCCCCCGGGAGGAGGAAGCCACAACCAGCCCCCGGGAGAAGGAAGCCACAACCAGCCCCCGGGAGGAGGAAGCCACAACCAGCCCCCGGGAGGAGGAAGCCACAACCAGCCCCCGGGAGGAGGAAGCCACAACCAGCCCCCGGGAGGAGGAAGCCACAACCAGCCCCCAGGAGGAGGAAGCCACAACCAGCCCCCGGGAGGAGGAAGCCACAGCCACACAAACGATCATGGCGGGATTATGACATCATTAACCGTCTGGGAAGTCTGAGAATGACTTTAATCAGATGAAAAATTGAAGGAGTTAAATACGGCACGAGGAAACTTGCGAGGAGTGGCTGGTGGGAGGCTGCATCAGGCGGGTCACATAACCGACCACATCAGTAAGCTGCTTCCTCCCACTCGCCTCTCCTGCCTTCAGGGACCTACGCATTATCCTAACCTCCCACGCTGCTTGGTGGTAAGGGACTACCCACATTCACGACGAGGCAGAGGAGTCTCTTGGGGGGGATACACACACACACTAGCCACCAGACTGGTACCAGAGCTGAGGGGTATGAGCTACGAGGTGAGACAATGGGAACTAAATCTCACGTCGCTGGAAGAAACAAGAATTAGGGGAGACAGGGTCACCATATACAAGATTCTCAGAGAAATTGATAGGGTAGATAAAGAGTATTTAATAAAGGTAGCTGGGAGTTAGACAGCTGCTACTGGCTGCTTCCTGGGGATGTGTGTGTGCGTGTTAAGAGAGAAATATATGTAGTAGACATAGAGGAAAAATAAATTGGTTAGAAAAGCGGGGTTCAAGAACTAATAGCTCGATTCTCTAGATACAAATAAATACATATTAAACACACACACAAACACACACACACACACACACTATATATACACACTGTCCACCAGCCAGTAACTCAGGACCCGATATAAACACAAGCCTGAGGTCCAAGCTCACACAGAATTTAATCAAGCCAGAAACACCAGCCCGGAGTCAGCCTCCGCCCAGTGTCCACATCATTTACAAAACCTAATTTACTTACACTTTAAATTAAACAAACGAATGTTCCTGTTTTTATTTTTTTCCGTGACACAAATACATAGCTGAAATTCATTGTATTAAATCTACGAAACACAGGAAATATCTTTAAATTAAATCTCGAAATTCATTTACCTGATCCTTGTAGTCAGATATATTAATTTTATATCCATTCATTATGCAAATACTCTTACATAAAATCCACCCGGAAGTTGTTCATATAAGAGAAAGTCAACAGAAAAATACAATCCTACAAATCCATCAAATGACAAAGTTCCAAACGGGACGCAAAATAAATACGAATTTCGCTTTTTAAATAAACATGCGATACTCTTTTTATTCTCTTTTTACTAATAATCGCGAACACTCGCGCACAAACCAAGCAAAAAAGTTGATCTTATTGTTTATGAAAGCAAATGATCTTTACGAAAGTAATCGACACCTTTCTCCATCTAGGTTATCTAGAGGTTATTTTGAGATGATTTCGGGGCTTTTAGTGTCCCCGCGGCCCGGTCCTCGACCAGGCCTCCACCCGCAGGAAGCAGCCCGTGACAGCTAACACCCAGGTACCTATTTTACTGCTAGGTAACAGGGGCATAGGGTGAAAGAAACTCTGCCCATTGTTTCTCGCCGGCGCCCGGGATCGAACCCGGGACCACAGGATCACAGTCCAGCGTGCTGTCCGCTCGGTCGACCGGCTCCATGTTTGCTGATGACGCAAAAAATCGAGAAGGATAAATACATTGGGACACAAAATTTAGAGAACAATCTGGACATTACATTTCCTAGAGTTAAAAGAAATGGATCAACAACTGGCTATTAGAGTTTAACTTGAGGAAGTGTAAATCAATGTAGGTAGATATTGCCAACAGGAGACCGGACACAAAAGTAAAAACCCGCCGGGAATCGAACCAACAGAGAGATCTCAGGTTTGATATCACACCGGACATGTTCCTACTGAAGCCCACTTCCATCGGATACCATCATTTTTATGCACAAAGTTCACCCACATAACTTTTTTTTTTTTTTTTTTTTTGAGATATATACAAGAGTTGTTACATTCTTGTACAGCCACTAGTACGCGTAGCGTTTCGGGCAAGTCCTTAATCCTAAGATCCCTGGAATACGATCCCCTGCCGCGAAGAACCGTTTTTTCATCCAAGTACACATTTTACTGTTGCGTTAAACAGAGGCTACAGTTAAGGAATTGCGCCCAGTAAATCCTCCCCGGCCAGGATACGAACCCATGACATAGCGCTCGCGGAACGCCAGGCGAGTGTCTTACCACTACACCACGGAGACTGCGGAACTGTCTTCAGAAATCTGAACAAGCTGTTATTCAACCTTGTATCACACTGTACAAGAACAATTCTCCAACATACAGCATCACTTAAAAAACACAATAGTTAGGGGAGACATAATTACCATATAGAAAATACTCAGGGATATATACATGGCAGATACGAATGTATCTTTTTTTTTAATTAGGTGGGAATTAAGTACCCAAATGAGCCAGATACATTAAAATAATACTTAGAGAGAATTGTAAACAAATGGAACTTGGTGGAGGGAAACTCGCTAAACGGGTTTACATGTAGACACGACAGTTCACAGGGCTCGAACCCAGGTACACCTGTCGGCCGACAGCTCGTCCTCAGAAACATTGGCCAAATGCTGGTTTGTCTAGCAGCAACACCCCCCCCCCACCCTCCTGGTGAATGAAAGATCAGATCTCAGAAAATGAATTAAACCACATTGAACGGAAAGAGACAATGAGAAATTATATAATATATTATATATATGTATATATTATGTATATATATATTACAAATATATATTTATATATATATATATATATATATATATATATAATAAATTAGGTACTCAGAAGTTAATAATAATTTATTGTGTCGGGGGACAGGCAGCCAGTGTGTATTCATACACTTTAGGCTGATATCGAGGTCCCCCCCTCCCCCCCCCCCCCCCCAAGAAGGTGGAATTACTGACCCTGCCCAGGATGCCACCCCACAACTAACTCCTGAGTACCTACTTACCGCTAGGTGAACAGCAGTATTAGGCGACAGGAAATGCGCTCAACCATTTCCATCCCGCCTGAGATTCGAACCAGGAATTCTCAATAGAGAGTCGAGAACGAACCCGACTGCACTACCGGAACCCTCTAGTATATGATATATAGTATATGATATAATGTATATATGTGGGAAATAAACCACAATGAACAGACAAGATTTTCACCTGAGTAACGTGTCGGGTCTGTACTCTTCTTCCAAGATTATTACCTACTGAAAGGAAGAAAGAAGATGAGGGGAGCCGGTCTTAAGAGGGGGAGCCGGTCTTAAGAGGGGGAGAGCGGGGCAGAAAAAAGATACTAAGAGCTACGTGTGTAAGACTGTCAGGATAAGGGGAAGCTGGGGAGCCGAGAGGGGAAAAACAAAGTCTTGAACGCTTATAGCGACATGTTGATCAGTAACACAAGACCAGATGAAATCAAGCCTAAAAAAAAAACAAAAAAAAAACTATTTTTTTAGTATTTTTTTTTCTAAAAAACAAAACAAAACAAAATTACAGGAACTCGACAAAGAAATATAGAGAGTTGTGCTGGGGCGGTACAGTATACAGTATATCCATCGTTACAGGTACAGTATATCCATACCTTTAGGTGATTTCGGGGCTTAGCAACCCGGCGGCCCGGTCGTCGACCAGGCCTACGTTACAAGTACCAATCGTTACAGGTTACAGTATATCCATGTCATAGGGACATATCAGTTACCTTAGCCCCCCGTGACCAGACCTCAGACCTGGCCTCCTGGCTGGCGACCTGGTCAACCTGACTGTTGGATGCGGCTGCTTGCAGCCTGGTGTATTTGCATATTTGAACAGCCCATCAATTATGCTTGAAATAATTGGGTTATTATGCTTGATCATTTCACGACTGGTATTCAGTGACTACAATGACTAATGAGGGCTAATTATCAAATTTCTCTGACGGAATCCATTCTTGAAAGAAACACACCTTGCAGAGTTCCAATTTATTGCATGATTGGCATCTCTAACATGTAAAATTATTGCATTCGACTCCTGTCCAGTTCTTATTGAATTGTTATGTTGCAAGAGACATTTGGCATGTCTTTTTTCCTGTCTGTCCACTTCTGCTTGACCACTGGGAAAACATCCACAATCCTTGCAAGGGACAATATACTCTCATCCCCCTGTAAGGATTGTGAGAGGGGGCTCGCTGGAGCCCAGGTTTCCAGGTGAGAGGGGGTTCGCTGGAGCCCAGGATCCTGGACGAGAAGTGCTCACTGGAGCAGGATGCAGCCAGTCGAGTCAAATGGCCCGCCAGCAAGGAGGAGTGCCGGAAACATGCTCACCTTTGATGCAATTTCCCGGAGGGCGAGGGGGGGGGGGGGGACCAGGGTGCAAATGTGTCGGTTGGCTTCTCCCTGGCCTGGCCTGCTCTGGCCTGGCCTAATGGGGCAGGGAAGGATGTGGTCCCTGGCCTGGCGTGGCCTGATCTAGCTGGGATGTGGTCCCTGGCGTGGCCTGATCTAACTGGGATGTGGACCCTGGCCTGGCCTGGTGGAGCAGGGTGGGGTGTGATCCCTCGTGGAGGAAATTATTTGACAGAACAACCTCATCCCCATAATATCTCCAGGACGCGAAACTCGTGGACCGACATCTATAATGTCCGAAGACTCGCAATTCATGTACAGTATAATCATTTTATTAGATACCCAGAACACGCGACTCTGATGGAAAAATGCTTTTCCAAATGTTCCTAATAACGAATTATAATTTAGTTTATCAAATGTATTTGATAAACCCGGGAACCCAGAGCCCAGCGAGTCCCCTCTCACCCGGGAACCTGAGCGCTCTACAAGGCGCCCAAGGTTAGCGACAATTGCCAAGGAAGATTATACAGCGGATGGGCGATGCCATCTTTCACCTCCGTCAACACGAGTGTTCCGTCTCCCCTGTGTCACTCACTCCTCGTCCGACCCTCTGGCTCCTCCTCCAGCCTGTCATCTGCGTCACTCACTCCTCGTCCGGCCCTCTGGCTCCTCCTCCAGCCTGTCATCTGCGTCACTCACTCCTCGTCCGGCCCTCTGGCTCCTCCTCCAGCCTGTCATCTGCGTCACTCACTCCTCGTCCGGCCCTCTGGCTCCTCCTCCAGCCTGTCATCTGCGTCACTCACTCCTCGTCCGGCCCTCTGGCTCCTCCTCCAGCCTCT